CAGAGAGAGAGAGAGAGAGAGAGAGAGAGAGAGAGATCAGCAGGCAGAGAGAGAGAGAGAGAGAGAGACTACTGTGATCTGCTTCCAACGCCGCAAAAGGTGCACATCAGCAGGCACAGAGAGAGAGAGAGAGAGGGAGAGGGCGAGGGAGAGGGAGAGAGAGAGAGAGACAGCGATCTGCTCTGCAAATCACACCAGCCTGTTGCTGCTTCTGCTGCTGCTGCCGCTCCCTGTTTCGCGATCCAAACAACAGAAAAATTACTGTCTTCACCTAAAGAGAAATTCCCTGTCATTATACTGAAAGTTGCCTCAAATACAGCTATAATGAGTGGGCATTCTATTTGGGGAGGGGGGGGAAGGGGGGGAAGGGGAGATGGTAGTGCAAGAGCCAAGCTCCCAAAAACAAAAAATAAAGAAAAGAGAGAGAGAGAGAGGGAGAGAGGGAGAGAGGGAGAGAGGGAGAGAGGGAGACCCACACAGGAGACATACTTTCTGCTGCTCTCAGTGCTGCTGCCGTATCTGTCGTAAAGAAAGGGTTCCCCGTTCCAGCACCAAAGATAACCACACGTCCCTTTTCAAGATGCCGCAGAGCTCGTCGTCGAATGTACGGCTCAGCAACCTGACATCAGAATGGGCCCAAAATCAGGAAAAAAAAGGTTCTCATCAGCAACAACCCGAGTCGGTGCAAAAATAATCTGCAAACATCAAACAAGACGAGCATAAAATTCTAAATATGACCGACTGCAATCAGAATCGACTTATTCACACTTTTCATGCACATGAACAGCAAAACAACGAACTGGCGCCATGCGCCCACACAGAACTCAGAGATATGGCTCCCAAGTAACAGTTCGCTTCCACTGGCTATGGCGACTGTGCGCCTCAAACAACTCACTGTTCACACTCTGGATCACCCTGGATATCCCACACGCGATACTCAGCACACACACACAGTACACACACACTTCCCCTAAGCTACAGCTATGGCGGCTATGGCCGCAGCTACCCTACTGCTATGGCTACGGTATGTCACTCTCGCCCACTTCATCTTCGGGCCTTCTGCAGACCTCCTCGCACAAGCTGCTGAGGCAGCGCTTCCGCATGGCTTCCGCAGGAATGAATGAATGGCTGGGCGCAGCCTCTTGATTTATACTTCTATGCTGCGTTGGCCTGCCCTGTACCCCTGGCCCATCGTGCACACAGTCCCAGATGGTACTTGCTGGATTGGACCGGACTGGGTGGACTGGGACTGCTGACTGTACTAGGTGGACTACCACCACTTGACCACTTGCCTCTGTTTAGCGCAGGCTCACTCCGAAAGGCCACTTCTAGAAACCTCTAACTTGGCCTTTCGGTACTGTAGCAGCTACGACTTTACCCTCTCAGGTAAGTAGCAGCTACGACCTTGACCCTTCAGGCAGCCTATAGCTACGACCTCTGAACTGTCTAGGCTCCTACCCTACAGGTCTACAGTTCGAATCCCTTCTACCCTGTGACCTACGAAAACCTACCTACCACTGGCGGTCCTACAGGTAGCAGGTTCAAATCTACGGGTTGACACCGGTACTGTACACAGGTAAGATGGGGAGCTAGGGATCAAGCCCTGGGATCTGCCTCAGCTACTGCGAACTGGTGAATACCGTTTCACTACTTATAAAAAAGTATTAAATAGTTGCAGGGTTGCATACCTGCCGACCCCAACCACCGACCGTTTCGCAGCCGACCAGTAGGGCCGACCGATCGGAGGTCTGCCGACCAGTCAGAAAACAGCATGGTTGCCCCGGACACGGACACCCAGACATCCAGACACTGGTACCGGACCCGTGTCTGGATGGAACCGGACGTCTGGTTAACGGGACACCAAACCAGACATTCCGACAACCGGACTTGGACAGTGGTGTCTGGAAGTCCGGATTAAAAATAATAATAACAAGAGGATGCCGCCGCGACTGCGGCGGGGACTAAGAGCAGGGGAACAAAWAAAAAAAAAAAAAAAAAAAAGCTACGCCCACAGCATGCAGCGCGGCCCCGCGGAAATCAACTCTCTAAGTATGGTCACCACGGCCACGCCCATGGCAGACCTACTCTTCGCCCACTGCTCCCTCTGCGGTGGCTCCCTGCTGCTCCCCCCCCCTCCCCCCCCCTCTTCTCATCCCGTTCCTCCTTCTCCCACTGGTCCCTCTCTTGCTGCTCGCGTTGCCCCTCCCCCCGTCCACTGCCCTGGTCCTCACCCTCCCATCCCCCTCCTCCCGCTCATCCCGTTTGTCCCCACCGCCCTTTTCCGACACAGAAAAGCAACACGCGGGCCGCAGGTGCTGTGCACAAACGCGCAGCTGTGCGACGTCTGCGACAGACCCCAAAAAGAAAGTAGTTTTTTCTTTTGTTGAAGTAGTTTTTTTCCCCCTCGATTTGCAAATGTGATCCTTGCGCAGGAGCCATCCTAAACGAACTTTCCCGATGCAGGGCCTGCAAAACGACAAAAAAAAGGAAAACCGGTGCATCTTGCCATTTTCTGCCTGAGGATCCAGTCTCATTTTAGAACATCTGGAGAGCTTCAGAGCGAACGCTTGGTACTCTCCACGTGCGCAAAAGACGAAAAAGATGGCAATGTATTTCTCCGTGTTCTAGCAGTGGATTCAGGGCATCGCTGCACTAAAAATCACCCCCCCCAATCCCCCCAACACACACACACACACACACACACACACACACACACACACACACACACACTGCTGCAGCAGTTGTTGCAGCTGCTGTTGCTGCTGCTGCAGCTTCTGCAGCTGCTGTTGCTGCTGCTGCAGCTTCTGCAGCTGCAACAACTGCTGCAGAAGAGTCAGCAGGTGGCAGCAGCGCCTGTGCTGCAGTGCACCTGCAACAGCAGATACATGGCGCTGACACCCAAGTAAAGCTGTGCCAACCATTCCTTGATGATCAATCAATCAATCAATCAATCGATTGATTTGATTGATTGATTGATTGATTTGTTCATTATAGGTACGGAAGAGCTGCACCAGAGCTGGAATGCCAACTTTAAAAAATAAAAAAAGAGCTGCACGGCTAGGCTGTTTTCCCAGGCGCCCGGGCACCCAACTTCTGCCCGGGTACACGCCCGGGTGCCCGGCCAGGCATGACCCCCGGGCAGAGTTCCGGGCAGCCTCAGCACCAAAAAAAATAATAATAATAATAAATTAAAAAAAAAAAAAAAATCATCGGGTGACTGTTCATCGGGTGCCTGTTGGATTTGACCTCTAAGGTACCCGACTGTGACTCTTCTGAAACTGACCGACTTGGCCTTTCTTGGCCCAGGCCTCCGACCCTGGAACTCGAATTTGGGGTCTGAATCGTGGAAGGCCGTTCACCTCCATCCTCGTCGCGTCTATCCTTCCCCCCCATGAGAGCCTGTCCAGTTAGGTCCCCAACGACAAAAAAAAGTCACCAACAATTTGGCGAGGGCACCCATGCCCTTGAAAACGGCCAGGGCACCCATGGGGGGGAAGGATAGACACAACGGGGTTGTATGGGGTTATTGGAGGCGGGTATAGGGGTGTTGGTGGGGTTATTGGGGGTTCTAGGCACAAACAAAAAACAAAAAAACAAAAAAAAAATTGTGGGGTGCTGACAACCCCCAACCGGTAGGTGCCGACCAGCCAACCAGTCAAGGGCGCTGACCGTCGGGGTATGTAACACTGAATAGTTGCATAAACCAAAAATAAACACGATAAATAAACTGTCAGTGCGCAGATCATGAGTTCGAGTCCTGACAGAATCAGATGGGTAAAAATAATAGTATGGGCTACCCCCTCGTCAAAATGGCGGTATGCACTACTACCCTGCCCTCCATACGCGCTTGATAGGCAGTTCTTGCCCGCCCCTCCCACCCCCCCCCCTTCCCCCCCCCCCTCTTTTCTCCCGTGCACAAGATAATAAAAAGAGCTTCGCAATCATCGCCACCCACACACAACAGGTTTTCTTTTCTTTCTGTTTTGAAATAACGGGCAACAACAAAGGTAATTCCACCAAAGTTTGAGTCATTTAGAAAAAGAAAAAAAAAACTCTATTTGGTTTGGGAAAAAAAGCACTTACATCCGCCATTTTAAAGGCCGTCTGCACCCTCGTGGGAACCCCAAGACTTTCCAGCGAGGCCTGCAAGAAGAGGGCATTCATGACGGTGGCAATCATTCTGCCAAGGGGAAAAAGGAAACGGGGGACGGGGAGGAAGGCAGGGAAGGGGGGAACCAAGAGAGGGAAAGAAGGGAGGGAAAGAATGGAGGGAAAGAAGAGGGGAAGGGGGGGGTATCAACAAGCAAAATACAGGTTTTATTAACAACATGGCACATGATAACCCCCATGGTTAAAAACAGGGACCGCCAGTTTTACGACCCT